AAAAACACTCTAGAAATGAATTCATTTAAGTTTCTCTGATAATCTTAGCTTTTGAATTGACTCTCTTTTGATTTTAAATTTATGGCCTCAAGCTGACATTACCAGAGTTTATTGCATTTTGCAGGTGGTATTCATATGTTGTTTCTTTATGTGTAGTATATTGTGGGCAATGGGTTACAATTTTTTGTTAAAAATTTCCAGAACCACACAAGTACTTCTTAATTAGACTTGCAAATGAGTAATGCCTTTATCATGTGGGGGGAAAATACTTAAAACATTACAGGAATTTGTGCGCCTTTTTTTCCCTTAGTTTGGGAAAAGTTTGCAATAAAGTTTGCTTTTTGAAACTTTGACAGTTTTTAGTAATTTCTCATTTACATATAAAGTCATCATTTTACAATTCCAAACAAATGTCATTTTAAAGCAGACCAGTGTTTTGTATGTGGTCCTGTAGCTCCAAAAGTGTTTACCAGGTTTACCTTGGTTTCTTCCATTCAGAACAGTGGAAAGTTGTCATCTCAATGGTATTTTTAGCATCTTGAATAATTTAATCATTGAATTTAATAATTTAATAATTGCTACCTTAATCATAGATTTCAGCAGTACAAACACTACCCACAAATCACCTACACTTTCTCCAAAGAAAACAAACAAAATACATATCAATAAACAAATAACAAAGAAAAACAATAAACCAAAGTTAATACTATCAAAAATGTTAACACATAAAGTAGAAAAAGAAAGCATGAAGTAACACATTTTTCAGAGAAAATCTTTATAATGCTTCTTAGACACAGTAAAATCTGAAAACAGATTTTAATTCCTATAAGTATGTTTTTGTAGATCTAAACTGACCCTGTACTTAGTTCCAGGAGGGTTCAAAATTCCTATCATTTATTCCCATGATTGAGGCCCATTTCATACTGAATATGTAAATTCTTAAAAGATTTCTAGTGATTGGATTTGGCTTATAAGCAAAGATCTTGGATTTTTTTAAGGCTACATAATGTTTGACAATGAAATTTTGTTCTTATGAGTATTAAATTATGCCAAAAAGCCATTTACTTGATAGTCATTAAATACCATAGCATGATTCAACTAAAGCTCAGATTGTAAACTGTCTTAAATAACACTAATGAAATGTGCACGTAATGAACAATATAACTAACTTAAGTTAATTTTCATGTAACAGATAACATCTGGGGGAAATGTATATTGGTAAGTTATGCAAAACTAATTTTCTAGCAACCACATCTGTAGATGTTATTTATTGTATGTTCACTTAACAGTCCATTATTCTGTTTAGAAATCTATTCTCTTCTTTATTAGAGCTTTTAATGTACTCACCTTGGTTCAAATGGTCTGCTCATTATCTGAAAAAATATAAATGGCATTCACATGGAACAACATGATTGTTTTTATTATATCCATTTGTGTGCAAGCATTCAAAAATGGCAAGAGAAGCACATTTATTGCTTTACATTCAAAGTAATATTTAGGGGGTATTTGAAAGTCAAGCAAAACCAATCATTTGGCCAAATGAATGTATGTGTATAATCAGAAACTCCTGATTTTTAATCTCAGCATTTAGACCTCAGGCAAATCACTTAAAGGCTTCCCCTTTGTTTCTTGATCTGAAGATTATGGGTGCTATTCTCTTATAGAAGAAAGGGGGGGGTTTTGCTAAATCAGGGCACCAAATAGGAGTGTTTTTTTAATAAACATACTTGATCCTTTTTCTGTTTTTATTTTTCTAGATTTAAGAGGTAACATATTAGACTTTTGAGGAAAAAAATATGAGACAATTACAATTCTACAGGAATGTATAAAAATAGTTATAAAACTAGCTTTATTTAATTTGCTTCAACTATTCATAGACTTGAGGAAATTATAACGTTCTTTCAGAAAATCTAACTTAATAAAGCTGACCATGTCTCTCTGTTTTAAATAGATTTTATTACAGAACCAGTGATGTTGTAAAACATGAGGTTTTGTTAAAAAAAAATACAAAGGCCTAATTGTATTTTTTTAAAGAAAGTATTGCATCAGACGGTTTCATTTAAACATATTTGCTGGCTCTGTGCTCTCACCACAATTATTGATTCTAATTCTCCTTAAACTTGTTTTTTAAGAAGTCCACTTAATGGGGGAAAAAAATCACTGTGATGCTTCTGGGCCCTATGTGTATTTCAAACTGTCTATTTGACAGGATACCTTATTATTATTATTGTTTTTAGTGAAATGACTTTATATTTACCCTCTTCTGAAATTGGAATATTTTTTCCCTTTACATTAACTTACTAACACGGCCAAATGTAACTCTTCATGAAAAAGAAAAGTGTAGCTATAGGTTTTGGTTCACTGATAGTATGCCAGCCACCCTGAAGAAAATAAATTCTCACCCCCCAGTTTTGTGCACAAATTAAATCAAATGACTAGCTGTATGAGCTACACTCGTGAAAGTCAAGAAGAAAAGCCCAATTCTCAGTCAGGGCTTCAAGTTCTTGGGCTAAACGGCAGCTTCACTTCACCAGAGATGTGACAATGTGAAGATGAGGAGCTCCAGGTTTCCAAGTGTGTGCCCAGCGCGCATGCACACACACACACACACACACACACACACACACACACACACACACACACACACACTGCTAAAGACCAGGAAAATTGGGTAATCGGCAAATAGTTCAGATTTGCCTTATAGAGAAATCCGAACCACAGAGGTGTGAGGGGAAAAAGTAAGAGACTTGAGGACAAATATCTGCTTGCATTTAAGTGTATAATCTGATGGAGGTGGGGGCACAGGTGGGCAGGTGGTAGACTCTGCTACCAGGATGCAGAGGTAATTTGTTGAGAACTTCCACCAAGGGGTGAGAGAAAATTAGCAGAAAGGCCTAGCCTGTGTATGGAAAAGCACAGCAACAAGACTAACATGGGGACAACAACAGAATGCTTGCACCTTGCAGATCAGCTCATGTGTACTTCCTCAATGCCTGCAGTAAATCAGGTAACCTCCATTCAATCCCTTTCTCTTTTCCTTTTTCCAATGTCTCACTCACCACCACTCCCCCCAAATTTCTCGCCCTATGTTAAAGTCCATACCACTAAGGAAATACCTCATCATCTTCCCTGTCTCTGGATTCCCATGTGGAGCTTACGTATTTTACCTATAATATTTCAGAGGACACTAAAATATGGTTAGCTGTTTCATTTTCCTAGCTTAGTAAAAAAAAGAGCAGTATAAGGTGTAGGAGGATGGAAAAACAAGTGTGGTGAAAAAATGCACAAGGAATTTTGTAGAAAGCTGAAAATGCTTGTATGTCCCATTTACAGGGAAAAACATACAGTGGCTTAGAATGTGATGAGAGAAAAGAATCATTCTGATATGTTTTCTCAATATTCTATTTTGATTAACATTTAGTCAACTTGAGATAAACAATCTGAAATGATGTCATCTAACATAATAGAGATTAAATGCTTAATAGTATTAATAATTTCCAAATATGGCAACATGATGACATATTACAGTTACTGGAAACTGCATAGGCCAAGAAGTCAGCACACCAGGGTTTAACTCCCAGACCTGTCACTAAGTAATTATTTGACTAAGCCAGTCATTTCATCTTTTGGTTTCCAAATTTCCTTGACTGTAAAGTTAGGACACTTCAATCTTTCTATATATTTATACCAAGCAGCAACTTCCTATAAAATCAAATTAAAATTAAAAATATAAATTCAACACAAAATAGATTGGTATGACCAAGCAAAAACAGCCTCTAGTACATTTCAAAACCTATCAAAATGAAAGATATTAATATTTAAATGAGGAAATATTATACATGTTTATTTGAAATATTGTGGAGAAGTTACAAATGAATGTATGATAATTTCAAGGTTTTTCCAGGCCTTATGGATGGTAATTTTTTGGTGAATTTATGTTTTGCCAGAGTGTTATTATCTTCAAACTTGTAGGCCCAGGGTCTGACATTATCAGCATAGAGTGGGTAGCTTCATTTTAGGGCCACAAAAACAGGCTCCTAGAGCTTAATGTATAAACTAAGACATCACTTTATTGATTTACAATAAGGAATGTAATAGGCATGAAAATCAGAGCACTCAAGTAGACATATCTTTATAGATCACTTGAGATGGAAAGTCAATTTATGATCAAAATGTTGCTTGTTCAACATAGAATCAGAACAAGAGGAACTAATAAAATGATTTAGATGTTTAATGGAATCAGTATTCTCCTCTCCTCTCACTCTCCCCCAAGCTATGGTGGGATGGACACTGCTTAAGTTGACTTCTTTAACTCCTGTTTCTTCATTTCCACTCTTAACCAACCACCATCACCCTCCCTCTGGTGGCCACACTCTTGCTACAGAATTATTAAATGCTCACACTGAAATCTTGCCCTGCCCTCTGTGTTTTTAGTTGATTTTGCAAATCTGCTGCCTGATTTACTGTGTGCTGGCCTTTAGAGCTTTTGTTGCCCTCATCATCATGTTCTTGGTGGCCACTTCTCTATTGCCCCCCAAGAACAGCTAGCTATACCTTGCTGAGTAATATCAGTCACCATCAGGCTGTTATTGAGTGTTCTAAGTGCCAAACCCTCTGCCAAAACTGGAGAAGATATGCAGGGGGTCTAAAATATAGTCTCTACCTAGAGAGCTTGTGGGCAGGAGGAAGGGAACATGGACCCATGAAACAAGTAAAGCTCAGAACAGTACAAAATGAATTCTTGAACCACGTAGTATGGAAAGAGAATTAGCAAGTGGGAAGAATAAAATGCGAATTATCAGATACAGAGTGCAAAAAGCACTGGAGAACTAAGAGGACAATGGCATGAAGAACTCAGAGGAGACAGCACTTAAAAGGTAATAGACTGGAATTTTTATATATACATATATACATATACATATATAACCTTTAAATTGGCTGAAATTGTGGTTACATACCAAAGGTTTGGTTATTATACAGCTCTTTTTCTTCTCCTCCAGCAAATGATAGAGGTCGTCAAGCCTTCAGGTGGCCTTTTCCCCAACCCTCTAGAAGAAGGAATCTCATTTGATATTTACTCAACATTCATAAAGCCGCCCCCAGCATCGGATACAGAAATGAAGGTATCTTTCCTTTTGTCTCTTAATTCACCCTATCTCAGCATAATATTCTCTATGGGCAGAAGGAAAGGAACCAAATGCTCTTCCATTTTCTTTCACTCTGATTTTTCCCAGATAAATGTAAATATTCGCTTTACCATGGATTCACAGGTGAGCCAGCTAAGGGTGGTTCAGCGATGTTAATCTTTTCCACCCCATCCTCTCCAATCTCCACGTTTACTTTTTCCAAAATAAGCACTGCTTAGCACCATGACTTGATCTGTCATGACGCTCATAAGTGACGAAAATGCAGGAAGACGGCAAATTAAAATCTCCTTCCAGATGGACATCATTCCTGGTAGAAAAGTACCCAAGAGAGGTTTAAGGCTGAATTAATCCTTGGATGCTCCAGATATCACCTGAGTGTTGTTTACTTTCAATATTATAGGGATTGGATCAAGAACAAGGCCCTAAGGAGCCCCAGCCAGAAGCCAGCACTTCCGACACAGATCCTTTAGTTGGTTTCACCATTGAAGATGTAAAATCAGTGCTGGGTCAAGTCACAGATGACATTTTAATCAGCATTCAGGTACTCAGCCTTGAGAGTGTGCTCACTTACTTCGTTACTGCCTAATTAGCCAACCTCAACCTTAATGCCTGTAAGTACTACCTACACTCCGCTGGCGAGAGCAGTGTTTATGATAGAGGAGTTCAGTTTAACATGGCCACATAATTCTCAGCTGAGTCATCTGAGACTCAAGAAGATCACAAAATAGATTTGCTAACAGCATGTACTGTGGTATGTGTTATCATTTATAAAATCATTCGGCAATGAAACCCCAAAAATAACATGGTAAAAACTTTGTGCCTGTCACACTAAAATTGCTCATACAAGAGTAATTAGAGTACATTTTAAAACAGTAAACACTGAAGATCAAACCATAATTCTTAGCTAAATCTTTTCACCAAATTTCTAAAGAGAGGCTTTCAAATCTTTGAACTCCCTCTCAGATAGTTGGTTCCTTTTCACATATCACTAATATCTAAGCAGTTTATACCAGTGGCTTCATGAAAATGGTGATGACACCTGCCATCTCAGTAGCAATTGCCAATGATGGATCAATTGGCTTAGGTTTATGCTTAATATTTTTTCCTGTCAAAAAAAACCCCACACATTTCTACCTCTACACAAAGACTGGCATCATTGCCCAGGCAAAATGATTAAATAAGTGAATTGCGTATTTTGAGAGGATTTATAATTTCTTGTGGAAATGGCTGTGAATCAATAAGACAGTATACTGCATGTTTAAAATATTTATGCATCTCAGGGAAAGATTTCGTTGTTAGCTGAACATGAGACTATATATAAAAAGCACACAGTATTAACAACTAATTTTGAAAGAGCAAAAGATTAGCTTGGCATAAGCATACCTTGTTACTTGTTTAATCATCAAATGTTAATGCACTATTTACATGAACATTTAATGATTTGATGCCAACAGAATCAGCCAAAGTCCTTGGTTTAATAAGGAGCATTTAGTGTTTACCAGAAATAGTGGAAGAACACGTCTTACACAAAGCTTTATTGTTAAAAACCCCATGAATGTAATAACTGGTTACTGTGTGTAAGGGCAGAGTGCAGTTGAATTAAGCTGAGTTCAGAACATATCTCCTTTTTATATTTGATAACATTTCATCTAAATATAGTTTATGTATAATCATGGCCCTGGGCTCCTTTGCGATCCTGTGGCTCTGAAATTATTGCTGAGAAGCGACTAGACAGTAATAGAATTGTTTGCAGGCCCCAAAAATTGAAAACATCTTTACCAAGGCCATGTTCCATGTAGTGAGTATGTTTTTAACTATTCATTGATTTTTTTTAATATTACAGTCTGCAGCATTTATGCCACTACTCTATAACAGAAAGAATATGATAGCTGCATGCGTGTATTATTGTCCCATTGGCCTGAAGCTATCCTTCACTGGGCTTAGAAATTTGTGAGCGGGTTCATCTAAGTATAATTAGACTTTGAAAGAACTTGGAAACCAAAGGTGAGAGATGCAGACCCTTTAGGTGCCATTTCCATATTAAGTGGATTCATGGCTTAACCTGAGCCAAATTACTACCAATTTTTCAATAAAATGCTTGATGATGTGGATTTCTACAATGTCTCAAGATTGCAAACCCCTTATGTATTTTCTTCCAGTAATCCGAGTAAACTATGCAAATTAGGCAGGCACTTCTCTGATAAAGAAATTGAAAAATGAGATACACAGGAGGATTGAGTCATTTGTCCTAAGTTTCCCAGGTCAGGAAGTGATGAAAGACTCTGAATGGGAGCCGTAAACTGGGTTCTAATTCGAATTCCAGTGTTATCCACAAAAACCACATAACCTCTAATGTCATGACCAGACTACTTTGGATTTTAATACCCCCGTGGTGTGGCACTTTTTCAGTGTTTACCCTTGTGTCTTGGTCAGATTCCAAGTTAGGTAATTGCTCTCTGCTTACCTAAATTCCTCCCCCTGTTTTAGATGGGTAAGTGAGTTTCCACAGAAAGCCACTGTATTCATAATTTAATGAATTGTTATTTGTAAGATGTTTAAAGTTTTCCGATAGCTTTTTCTCCATCTTTATTTAAAAGCCATACTGTTATTATATTTTTTGGAGGAAAAAGAGAATTCATGTTTTAAGTACGGGTTTTTCAGAGCTCCTTCTCCAGTGTGGTTACAGGCATATTTTACGTTCAGTAATTCAGAAATTTCTGAAAATGTAGTGTGAATCCTTAATTTTTTTATATGAATCCACTTACTTTCCCGTTGACTCACTTTATAGTTTTAGAGATTTATTAAGAATGAAGTTATCTTGGCCCTGAGATGTTAATTAAAATTATACTGAACAGAGCAAACATTTTAAGCTTATATAGTTTAGGTATTTTAATTTTAAAGATACATTCAAAATGAAATTATTTTGGCCCTGAATTGTACAATAAAAAAATTATACCCAATGGAGCAAACTTTAATATATTTAAAGAATTATATTTCAGAGAAATATGAATGCAAACACTAAATGCTTGCTGTTAAATGTTGGCTGTTGGCCCTGTCTAAGCAATAGGGTAAAATAATGTGAAAACCATGTGAGAAGTTTGCCATCATGGGACCGTAGGTATATTTAGGTCAACTTGAGTTTCCAGGTTAGAAAGCTTGAGAGTGAGATCACCTCAAGGTAGTGCTCACTGAGAGGCTTTGAACCCAGGTCATGGGTTTCCATTCTTCCTAAAAGGACATAGAACATACTCAGTCCTAGTGGCTGTGGGCTTGCTTGTCTGGCCAGCAGCGTCCTATGGAATAACAAGAAGACATGATAGACTAATGACAACCTGTTCTTGACTAGACAGGAGTCTTTTCAGCCAGGTCTTCTGGTTGTGCTTGAACTGACGTACCGATCACCACAGCGGCCTAGAGACCTGAAATGTAACTCCCCTCTGTCCGTACACCACTCTATGAACCGTGCACCTCATCTTCATGAACCTTTTCCTCAAAGCCCACACTTGTATAGATGAATTCTGTTCCAATGAAATACCAGAAAGGTCTCCAGGTTATTGTGAAAACCCTGGTGAAATAGTGAAACAGAAGCTGGTAGAGGATAGTACATCTGTTATTCTTTGAAAAGAAATGAGATTACTGATGGACATACAACACATTATAGTCATGCACCAATTAACGACAGAGATACATTCTGAGAAATGTTCGTTAGGCGATTTCATCATTGTGCCAACTACACAGCCTACTACTCACCTAAGCTGTATACTATAGGTTATCGTTCTTAGGCTCCAAGCCTGTACATCATGTTACTGTACAAAACAACATGAGATTAAATCAAGCACAAAAGAAAATAATGCAATCAAGAGACCCGGTAGACATGAGATGTCTGAGGCTGCTGCTGGCATAACAAGGCATACTGTTTTACAGCAAGCTTTTTCTTATAAGTAGAGTACACTCTAAAATAATATAAAAAGTATAGTATAGTAAATACATAAGTCAGTAATATAGTTGTTTATTATCATTATCAAGTATTATGTATGTACGTACATAATTGTATGTGCTATACTTTTATACGACTGGCAGCACAGTAGGTTTGTTTACACCAGCATCACCACAAACACGTGCGTAATGCCTTGTGCTGCAACATCACAATGGCTACAATGTCACTAGGTGATAGGAAATTTTCAGCTCCATTATAATCTTACTGGACCACCATTGTATATGTGGTCTTTGACCAAAATGTCCTTATGCAGCACCTAACTATACTGAAAGTGGGAAGAGTTGATTGTTTAGTTAGAACAGTGCTTCCCTATCCTTTGGAATGTGACAAGATTATCTATTCAAACCATTTCAGTCCTTAGATGGTCTAATCTTTTGCATGACCTGAAGAAGTAGGAGTCACATAGTTTTAAAATATTCCATGCCATCATATCCATGAAATATAGCATTAGTGAATATATCACAAAATTAGGAGTTGGAATTATGAATTTAAAAGCTAGTATGTAATGTTCACATACTTAATTCTCAACTACTTACTTTTTCAGGTAAGAGCTAATACCTTAGGTGGTTCAGTGTCTTGCTCAAGGCTATACAGCTAAACTAATCCCTAGGTCTCCACACTCCTAGACCAGTGTGCTCCTCTCAACTGTACCAAAATCATGCCTGAGGGGGTTAGTGATGCCTAAAAAATGACAGAGTTCCCAGATAACCTGGAGGATGATGTTCATCCCTCCTTTCGTCCTCCACCCAATCACCAAGAAAGAAAAAAATGAAAAACCAGAGGCCAGAGCTTGATCCAAGCTTGATAAAACTTGAATCACAAAAAGACTGATGCTCACATAAGAATCCAGAATTGTTGACACCAATGTGATCTTTTCAGTAATATCAATTCTTGCTATGAAGGTAAAACAGAATCTCCTCAGATAAGGCAACTAGGATGTCCATTTCAAAACTATCTATTCTAGTTGCATAGATATATAGGTAATAGATAGATAGATAGATAGATAGATAGATAGATAGATAGATAGATAGATAAAAATGGAAAGCTATATCTAGACTAAAGCAGTATTTGATTTTTTAAATTTCCCCTATATAAATTAAAATAAGTTTCTCATAATACAGTTACCCTGAAAACTTCAAATTATGTTATAGACATGAACATTCTAAACTTCAAATTAGTTATTAACACATATGTATAAACTACTCCTTCTACACGTGAGGACCTTTTTAAATCACCTAAACAAAAACACCAGTTTTACCACATTGCCCACCACTGGTTACTCTACACATAATTTTATTATCCATCATAAAAAAGAGAAGACATTTCCAGAGCTACTAGTGTTCAGCTAATGTGAAAGTATTTCTGGAATTGTGCAGGTAGCAGTGTTAGTCCACAGAATATCACTGCCAGAGGCTAAATGCTATCACAGTTGCAGCAAACACGAAAACCTGTCAGCAATCACTTTTTTCTACCAGAACTATACCACAAAGTGGCATAATTCCAGGAGTTCTAATGTATGATGAATACTTTTAATTATGAAAATTGTTCTAATTGTGAGATTATTTGTGTTGTTATTTCACAACAGAAGCTTTCCGGGATCCCATTTAGAATGTATTACACAGGAGACAAGAACATTTATTGCAAAGGGGTGGGGAGACTAATAACATTGCAGTAACTGAGCCCTGAGCAGTTATTCGGATTCGGTGCTTATTGGTAAAGTCTGTCTGAAAATACAGATAAATTATCCTATCTTCCAACACAAGGCTGTGTGAAAAATGGCTGTCCAAATACCACTTCCTGTTCATAGCAGACATGCTATACATTGGGAATGTGCAGAGAAATATGATAAAGTGTTATCACATCACGACAGGCTGAAACACGGCTATGTCTGCAAAACAGGAAGGTGTGTGAGGGATAATGTCTGTCTTTAGGCACTATAGTATGTCAAAACCACAAAGACAATGTGCAGCAAAAGATAGCTCCATCATAACCACTTTTTTATGATTGTCTTCACAGACCGAGATAAACGAAAAGCTGCAAATACAGGAAGAGGCCTTTAATGCACGAATAGAAAAATTGAAAAAGGCCTGAGGACTCGGTACAAAGAGAGTGATGCTAAACTTCACAGAAACAAACAAAAACCAGTCAGAATAATAGACTCTCTAGAGCATCGACTCTCCTTCATTTAGTTGGGAGAGGAAAACCAAGGTCCGCTTTTTATTATCCTAAGTAATTAGAAAAGTATTGGCCCCGATTTTGCTATCTCCTGTCCCATAACAGCCTCTGGATTTATTGCACCAAGTGTAATAAGAGCATTTTGTATACAAGAGTTTGGAGAATTATATATAAAAATACAATTACTTTTACAATACTCCCTTGACATTTTGACTAATAAATGTTATTCATCTTCAAGAAGAATGAAGCCGACGTTTTTAAATAAAGAAAAATAATAATTTTATCCATATTGACCCAAATGAACCGCCACATCAATGGAACACTATGAACAGATAGCACTACCACACTACTGATGGTAAAACTTGCTAAACAATAGCTATTCAAATGCATATAGTAGGGTTTTTTTTTTCTTAAATCATTTGGTTTTCTTGGGGATAAAACTTGCTAAACAATAGCTATTCAAATGCATATAGTAGGGTTTTTTTTCTTAAATCATTTGGTTTTCTTATTTAAATGTTTCCGTGTGAAACCAATTTTCTGAAATTATATAATGTTGTTTGAAGCACTTTAATTTATTCTGTACTGTATTTGTTATTTTTAATCTTGTTACTCTCCTAGGAGAATACATGACCTATATAAAAAGAAGCAATGTATAAGTGGTTATTAAAGACCAACCTATATATAGATTGTAAAAATCTTAAATACAAATCAAACTCACAGAGCTCTTAAAATTAACCGTTAGATTGCAGTAGCATGATTGAAAACATCACAAGCCTTTAAGTACCTTTATTAAAATATAATTTCAAAAGAAAAATACCTCTTTGCCAACTGATTGTCCCTAGTTGGACAAATTAAATTAATTATTACTTAGGCCCTTTCCAAATGTCTTAGACTTCAGACTGTTCTAGAATGGAAAGCGTTACTAGGAGGGGACAGTTTCCAGTTTTATAGTGGATCAAGATAGACATGTACCTGGGTGGCACTTGCATCTTGGTTGGATATGTTTTGTCCATGCTCTGAACTTGGTCTATAACCTTACCTTCTCCATCAGTACCAAAGGGATTGCCCAAAGTGTATTCATTTGGGGCAGAGATCGATCTGTTAGCATTTGGTAATTTTCTAACCACCCTACCAGCAAAGTAAGAAAAGTCCTTAAGATGAAACCATGTTTACTGTTCATACAGCTCCAAGTCTGGAAGGCCCGGAGATGTGCTGAGATGTGTTTTTTTCTTGAGCTGCCCTTCCTAATTGAAAATGTTCATGGCCATAGGAGATCCCTAGGAGGGCTCGTAAGTCTTGATTCCATCAAGCAGTCTTTTCTCCAGGGAAAACAGAGGTGAAACTAGAGAAACCACAAGCTGGAAATAAAGGAGGCTCTAGAAATCACCAAACACAGCTTCAAATGCAATCATTGGCGCAGAGTGGACCTGCATTTCTAATAAAGAGTGCTTATTTTCAGTAAAGGTACCAAGATTCTAAAACTGAATGAAAAAATCCAGTAGGATCCCAAAAAACTGCACAGAGACAATATCCTCTAAGCATGCCTAAAGCACATGAGCATGCCTGAAGCATGCCTCTGGAGGAGGACTCCCAGAGTCTGATACTGGCTTCACCACTGGCTAGTGTGGGATTTTGCACAGGCTACTAAACCTCTATTTGCTCATCTGTTAAATGGGCATAATACTTACTTTCAAAGTAGTTATAAGGATTTCATAAATTCATATTAAAAAGATTTTGTTGTAAGGTTTGGTTTCTGTTTACCTCTTAGGATACCTAAAAAGCCACTGCCTATCCCTGCTACCCACTGTCCAGTTGTCTGATCAGCCTCTTTGCCAGCCTTCTCTGTCTGTCCATGGGCACCCATGTGTCCTCCCACAGTAACCACTTTGCCACCCTGCTGTCATATATCGTTCAGCTGGAGCAGCCCAGGTCTCTCTGAGGCAGCCTCACTTTATCTAATAATAAAAAGAGAAAGAGCAATCATAGTAGCAGTAGTTACAAAATTTAATTCACAATCTCTGCTCTTTAAAATTAATTTCAAACTGGTAAAACAATATATGCACGTACTCAGTTATAAAAAAAAAGTGTCTACAATGAAAAATAAATTTCACCCTAACTAGATACCCTCATTTCTCTCCCTACGAGGCAATTACAGCTTCCAGTAAGTACTTGGGAAAGTATTTTTTGCCCATTTAAACAATTGGATGCTTGTATACAGTGGTCTTTAAAAAAAAACAATTTGCATTGTTCTTTATATTACCTTTTTTATCAAATAATATATCTTAGAGATAATTCTCTATCAGTACATAAATGACCATATAGTATCTCATTTTAGCAATTCCATACCTTTTCAAACTAGTCCTATTGATGAACTTTTTATTGTTTCCAGTATTTCACTATCACAATGCAGCATGGTTATCTTTGTGAATGTAATTATACCTGTAGGATGGATTCCTAGAGGAAGCAACTTCTAGGTCAGATTTATTTGCATTTGCAATTTTGATAGATATTATCAAAGTGCCTTCCAAAGATACTTCACCAATAGTGTGTAACCATTCCTTTCTCTACACTGTTACCAACAGCAGGCGTTGCCCAATTTTTATCTGTCATATTCTCATAGATAGAAAATAATGTCACACTGTTGTTTTAATTTGTTTTTATTGTTTTACTGTATGGACTGAACCTCTTTCATATGTTTATAAGCAAATTATGTATATATACATATACAGAGGGTGCCAAAAAAATGTATACACATTTTAAGAAAGGAAAAACTATATTAAAACTGTAATATGCAATATACACTAACAAAAGATGATTTACAAGTCATGTGTATACATTTTTGGCACCCCCGGTATATACTTAAACTACATGTGTATGTATTTAATCTTCCTAATAACCCTATGAGATAGACACATATTGTCAGCCTCATTTTATTTATAAATTTTGGATCCTGAAGCTTAGAGATTATTAACTTGAACCAAGTTATACAATTAATAATTGATGGATCAGGGCTTCAAAACCAGTACTGACCTATTTTACAGATGAGGAAACTGGAACACAAAAAATTTAAGTAATTTTCCCATGATCACACAGCCAGTAAATGGTAGAACCAGGTTTTGAACTTAGGCCTGTATGATTACAAAACCTACCTACTTAACTTTCACCTTAGCATCTAGCAATTCATAGTCAAGATGAAGCAAAGTGAAGACTGACCTTTCTTTTTTGGTATTAGTTATAATAAGGGAACAAATTTGTTTATGTTGGTAGCATATTAAGTATTTAGAAAATTTATGCAAGGATTGAATGTGAAGGCCAGCTTCATTCATTCATTTATTCATTTATATATTCATTGAGTTCTTACTATGTGCCATGGCATTTAGTAGTGAGCCAAACAGACATGATCTCTACCCTAATAATCTGGTTGGGGAGACAGTTAATACTAACTATGAGAAAGACAAGCTTCTGGAAATTATGGACAAAGGAACTTGATCTAGTCTGGGAGGTCAGGGAAGTGGCCCACGGGTTTTGATATTTGGGCTAGGATCTGAGGGACAGGTAGCATTGAACTAGACAAAAGAAGGTGAAGGAAGATGACTTTCAGGCAGAGAGAGAAACATGCAAAATCCCTGGGACACAGGATGAGGCTGAAAAATTGGCCACAGCCAGAGCCCTCACAGGGGTCTGTAGACCACATAGAGATTTTTATTTTTAACCTAAAAGCAATGGGAACTTGTTGATAAGTTTTAAGTAGCAAGTGACATAACATTAGTATTTTTTAAAAAGGCCACCTCTCTCGTACCAGCACTTCTATCCATGGAGATGTGGAAAAAGCAGTCTTATGAAAGGATTCCCTACTGTTAATGGTGCTACAGCTCTACTTCTTAGTGATTTTCAAGAGTGGGAGAACTAAAGAAAATGTTTGGCTTTCTTAAAGTCACAGGGTCCACCTACTCTATGGCACACAGGCAGCCCCCTGAGGAGCCAATTAAAAAACAATGCCAACCTATCACTTAGAAAAGCGGCAGCCTTTCTCTTATCATCCACAGTAAGATACCTTTCTTCCATTTGCAGGAATAATTTGGAGCACTTTTTCCCTCACCCCCATGATAAATTTCAAAGAGGAAATATATTCATTATGTTATGAACAAGCCACAGCCCACCAGTGTTACAGGTATTCCAGGCCCTGTTGTGCCTAAATATAGCCATGGAGTCATTTTTCCAAATTCCAAATATAAAGCCCCTATTTCTCTCCTGCATTTGATTGGAACCATTCAACCATCCTGGTAGATAATAAGTTTGCATGTTCTTAGATTGCATTTTATTATGCTTCAGTTCCCCTGAAGAATAAACGCTCTCCTTTTCCCAACAATTGTAGAGGAGAAATACTTCTGACATCTCAAATTTCAGAGTCTCGAGAAGATGTCTCTTATATCTGGACTTCAAAGTCTTTTTTTTTTCTGGACATTGATTTGTTAAATAAGAGAAGTCAGGACCCCTTCATGGCAGCCAAAACACCTATTCATTTAAGCAAAAATAATATAGATTTAAATAATAACATATTGTTGGAATTTAGATTCCAAAACAGAGAGGGAATACTAAAAATCTTTTTTGCTTTTAGGATTTCTTCCCTTTTCTTGGAAGTACCAGCAGTGGCCTCGGCTTACTGTTTTTGTCAGAGCTGCCTAGGAGTTCTGTAATTATATTTAACTTTTAGCTTCAGATAATGTTCAGTGCAAATGACTCCAATGATCATTTTGGTGTTTGTTTCTTCTTTTTAATCTAGTCTATAACTTATTCTGGGTACTTCCTGGGCACTGAGATGAAATAAGACAGATAAGGTCTTTGACTTCATGGAGTTCATGGAATTGATAAAGTTTGTAATCTAGAGGCAGATGATAAACAACTGAATAAATAGGGTGATCTTAGGTAACAATATATGATGACAATGATTAATGCAAAGCCAATGCAGTAGAAAGCTCTGGGACATAGGAGAACCTGCTTTCCCTGGGGTGCTCCAACAACTCTTCTTGAAAGGGGTGACTTTGAGCTGACCAGAAATAGAAGGAGCCAGCCGTGGACCACACCATGAACCATTTGTTTCAGACAGTGAGTGAGGATAGCAAGTCAAGTGACATTGCCAAGCTCTCAGGACCTCACTCCTGGAAGTCACCACGGCTGGTTTGCGACCTCAGACCCTCACATTCCTAGTTCAATGCTTTCCCATCCTGTTGGCATGGGTATATTGCCCTACTTTCTGTTTCAAAAGGAAAAAAGCAGAATTAT